TCAGTAACGCTGTCAGCGGATCCGGCGAACTGATTGATTGAATGCTTCGGCGATCACCTGTTAGGTATACCGATGTCTCGGTTGAGAACTTTCTGAATTGAATGCCTACATAACAGCACAGACGCTCGTTCCCGGACTTTACTGTCATCGCGAGAATAATCCGCTGGGCAATGTTGCATTTTCCGTTGCTATTTTGCTAACAACATAGGCAGATATTCATTTCCTAAGAAACCTATATATATATATATGCAATAACTGTGACACAAATTCAATTGAAGATGAAGAACATTTTCTATTGAATTGCCCAAAATATAACACACACAGGGAAAACTTATCCAAAAAATTATGACACTACTTTCATCCAACAATAACAATATACAGTTCACATATATACTCTCAAGCAAAGATCCTGGCATAATTATAGAACTTGCCAATTATATTTGCACAACACACAAATGTATTTAACATTTAAATACTAGTTACGTTATTTTTCCTTTTTTTTATAATATTTTTACATATATCTTGTTATTATTTTAAAACTTTTTTATGCTGTACTTATCCTACATAAATCATTTTCCATGAAGGCAATAAAGTTATTATTATTATTACACTTCGAGATGGGCGTCTTTCGCGGTCAGTAATATTTACAAAAATTTGTGTTCACTATTTTATAAACTGGCTTGGCAATTCCCACCACCAATTAGACAATGTCACAGCATTTTGGCTACTTTTCCAACAAACCAAAATCACTCGATAATTTTGTTTACTTTACATTTGTACTATGATTACATTTGTTTTGATAATTTTAATGCATATATGTACACTCAGAAAAATACCCCCAAAATAAGAGAATTTAGTATATAACTACTTTTCCTTGTCTTAATACTGCATTTTTTTTTTTTCGATCTGTGTAACTTCATGTGGAAAACCTAATGAGATTATGAAATTTAATGTTCAGTTCACAACTAACGGTTTTGCAGTACTAGTAGTTGTGAACTTGTCCATGGAGGCTGCAAACTGCAAATTTTTTTAAATAAATATTGTACATTTTGTATTCACTGACATTCATTCTGTATTTACATTTGCCATGAGTTCCACAGTATCTTTTTCTTGCTGGTGTGACTACAGTGACAGTGTAGTGTACTCTGCAGTTTTTTTGTTTTTGTTTTGTCGGTTGTTGTCAGTTGTCTGTTTTGTGTTCATGGAATTTTGTACAAAAATCAACAACGGTTAAATAGGTATATAATTTCTACTTAGCAGTATATCATAGACAGTACTTGTATACTTTGTTCTTCAGCATAAATATTGGATTGTTCAGAAACATGAGATTGTCATATAAATTTCGTTCATTAATGTTGTTCGATGAAACTTCCTGCGTGGCCTTCAGAGTCCCATGTTGACTATGTCTGACTGGTATATACAAAATACGACCAAGTAAACGTCAGAATATTAAATAACAGAAATCTAAAAATCAGTTGCCCATGCCAAGAGAGCCGCAGAACCAAAACAATCTGTTAGCCGTCGCTGTCCACAGCAGCGATTTAGGTGACCAAAATTGGCGATGATAGCCAAGGGGGTGAGGAACTTAATTTCAAAAGCATATTATATATATAGGGTATAATAATTATTATTAGCTTATAATTTAACCAAGTTAAAACAAAATATTGCAACAATGTTTTATTATTCTATTCTATTCTTGTATTACACTAAACATGCCTAAATCGCTTCGAGTAAATCACTGATGGACTTGAATTCTTGAGCTGCAGAAACACACAGATTACACAATCGAGTAGAAGCAATAAACATGTAATTGATAAAGGAATAAATGCACATTTTGGACAATCTATAGTTTTCTACACAAAAAACTACACACTATTTCATTCTCCATGGGATGGGCACAAAAGTTTTGGGTGATAGTAAGATAAAAATAATATTACTACTAATATAGTATAACTATATGAAAAACTATTACGATTAGACTTTGATGCAGTTTTTATTTCGATCTAGGACTGTAACTTTTTTTGTCTGCAACACATGTGATGTTCTGGCCAAACTAGTCACATAACCTGCTTCCATAACTCTGTTTGGAAGACTTAAACAAATACATAGTTTCTCATAAAATATTGCCTAGATTGAAATGTTTTGGAATTAGGTCATTATGTGTCATGTAAGCATGTATGTATATTATGGCATGCATATTTAGTCTGTATGCATGCGTAAACTTTAATGAGATAGCCAGTGTGGGGTTAATAATTCAGCTTACATTAGTGGGTTGGGTGTGACTTTGCAACAGTTTGTGGATCTTTGTCAAAAAATTTGTTGAGTTTTTTTTGCCTTGTCTGAGTTTATTAGACGAGAATTAATGGACATTAATGTCAGTATATCATGCATTCATCCTACCTGAGTATTCACTTTAGATTCAGTCTTAAATTTCACAACCATTGGTTTTCACTGAATTTCTACTCACAAATCTACGGCTTAGTTATTCTGATTCCATATTTAATTTGAAATAAATGCATAGCATTTTGAAAATACAGAGAATTGCACATTGGTCCTTGATCGCCTAACAAATGTTGATGGCTGTCAATTTGTAATTGTTCACCCTTTTGTTTATAATGATGTATTTTCATATTAACGAGTAATATCTTCTAAAAACATGTACATCTTTTTTTGAAACATGTGTGACAATGATCAATTTAACCAAGCTGCTATAATCAATCACTGACAACGATTGAGTTTACACTCATGATGACTTTTTTTCATCAATTCTGTACAGAAATCATGTTCATAGTGCAACAAATGGCAGAGTTGCATCAACTAGAAATAAAACAGTTTCTAAGGAGCACAATGACAGCGATACAGAGCAAGATGTGTTGATGATCAATATTCCCTCTGCTGGTGATGTGATGAGGGAAAGAGAAAGCAATGCAGTAACATGTGAGATTGATCCACAAAAAATTGTAAGTGCTCTACTTTTGTGCATGTACTGCATGTACTGCATGCAACTTTAATTCAGTTGAATGATGTCTCTTGTCTCACCACATGTACTGTATTCTTTCTATTACGGTAGTTGCACATATGCTTACATAACTTACAGTGGTGTTTCCATGCTCAAAATAATATTTTGATGATTCAGTATACAACAAGTGTGATTTTTGGTTTATATGCATTTCTTTTGGAGATATTGGAAATACGATAGCCAATCAGGTCACTTGTTGAATAAAGTATTACTTTTAATTGTTCCACTCATTCACAAAGTTCAAAAAAGGTTGTCACAAATCAAAGGCAATAACTTGAAGATTATTGATAAATGCTTAAATTATTTAAAGAATAGAAAATAAACCCTTTGAGTACTAAAAAAATTATTTTCACTTAAAATCAATTTTCGTTATTTTGCTGAAGGAATGAATCATTCTTTCAGCAAAAGTAAAATCCAGTGAATATACCTCCTATTTTTTTACATTTAACGCTTCAGGATTCAGTGAAAATAAATTCCATACAAAACACTTAAAAAGTCTTTTCAGTGAAAAATTATTCCAGCTAAAAGTATTTCACAGTATATTTCACTGTTGGTTGCCATGACAGTCTATGTTCTAACAATTCCAAATGTGTTGTTACAAGTCTATATGTGTATTTAACACCAGCAGTTAGGTCTCTGTAATAAAGTTCATTTACATGTCTTTACATTTACATTTGAATAACAAGCTGAAAGTGATTACCGGTCTGCAGTGTGACAAACAAACCTTGTTTCAAATAAATATGGTCCAAACCTTGTCAAAATGGTTTATATTATTATGCATCTGTCACC